CCCCCAAAACCCCAAAACCCCAAAACCCCTCCAGGTTGAACTGGATTGAAGCAATTATTATATTAGCCAATCAGAGGAAACCTAGAATATTTGATCCTATTTTAGGCAATCATGCGTAAACTAACTCGGTTTAGACTATGAGGCTACTTCTAACTCTTTTAATAGTTTAATTTTGACAAATTGGCTGAACTCGATTCCTGTTGTAAATTGTAGAGAATGCTCATCTCTCGGTCTATAGCAGTAGGAGTACTCCCACCCTTTGAGTAGATCAAGGAAGTTTAATTTTATCTCTGGAGATTCTAGAATTGATTTTACCATGTCCAACTTTCCTAATTCTTTGGACATCATGAAGATATAAATTTTATTGTAATTATAACAGTGTTGAGGCATAACAAGGTTGTCTGTGAGATTCTTTCAACTGTTAGATTCGACAGAATACCATTAATAATTTCAGGAATCTTAGTGCTTACGAATGAATAAATTTTTGAATTCTTTATGAATCTAGAGGAATAGCATTAGAATACTGTAAACAAGAAGCTGAAAATCAGTGAAGACTTAGAAAGTAAGAAGAAATCCTTGAGATTTAATTTTAGTGCTATGCTGATCAATGAGGATCTCTCTTACCCTTTATCTGCATTAAACAGTTCTTCCTGACTGGGTTCATTCGCTTGTCACTTAAGCATAGTGAGTAAGATGCTTCTCAAGAATACATTTGAGTCAATAAGATGGCGGAGTCATTTATCAAGAAACTTCTGCATATCGCTTGGACGGATCTGAGCTTCTAGCAAGAGAATGTTTCTTTTATTAAACTTGACTAATTCCCCAAGAATATCTAGGGCTGTCTGTAAGTTCTGGTTGTCATGAGTCTCTATTGTTAGAATGTCCTGAAGCAAATAATTTAGTTTGAACGAATTATGGATTAGGCTGAGACTTACCGCATGATGAACAGCTGGAAAAATGGATTTGCACCTCGTACAAAGGACTCAATACAGGAGGTTTTCCAGTAACGAAGATTTGATGTATTGATACTTGATGAATATGCATTAATAAAGGAAGAAATCACCTTACTGATGAACCCCTATTTTCTTTGATAGATTTGAAATCCAATTTAAGGTTAGCAAGGTTTTCCTCACAGTAATCCTCTGACTTTTTAAGGTGAGTAGAGGAAGAGAGAACTAAAATATTTATAGCGTACTTTTGTGCTTCTTTATCGATTTCTATGTAGTGATGAAGCAATCATGGCGCTATTTCTTGCTTTAATAAAAGGATTAGTTCATCTCATGATATTTACTGAAGTTTATTATCTAAGTTAGGTGAATTTCTGGCAAGATAGTTGATTGCAAGTTTGAGGATTTGAACTTTCGTATCTCTTCCGAGTCACGTAGAGTAATCCATCGTCTTTTGGAGAAGACAGTATAGCTTATTAATGGTAGTGATTATGCCAGATTTTCTTAGCCTATCTTGGACTTGATTTTTCTTTGTTCCAAACATTAATTTGTTTAAAATGTAAAGGACTTCAACCATTGATGATTTGCTAATTTTCTTGAGAAACTTGAGATTAGTCTAAGTAGCCAAAAGGTTTCCATTACTTGTCTCATATTTAGGATTATTGACTGAATTAAGCAGGTTTGAAATATTGGTTGGCGGGAGGTCCCGACCAGGAGGGCTATCTTCTTTGTCTTCTTCCTCACTAATGCTTTCATCGCTATCTTCATGGATGTTATTTTAAGAGTGTCTAGGTAATCTCCGTTGAATACAAATTCTGCGACTTTCTCGTTAGGAATTAACTCTTTTATTTTTTTGGATTTGAGCTTAGTTCAGGAAAATTTTATATCAAAAGCTGCTCTTTGATAATCTGATGAGTCGCTTCCGACAAAATTTCCTAGGTAAGAAAAAGGTGGTACATTTGAGTTTTCTTGATCATCATAGCTGGAAGCTTTTGAAAGAGGAGATGAAGCTGTTCTGGTTAATCCCATGATTCTTGAAACTATTGAATGGCAGTTTTTCAGCTTCTTTCAATTATTTTCGAAGGTATTCAACCATATTTTCTATTAGCTCAGGAGCTCTGATTAATACACCTTCATTAATATCCAAAATTTTGACAGATGGCGAGTATTTTAGAGGAATCTTCTCTTCGAACATTTTAGAAAAGGATTTCTTTGACTTGTCAAGAATCAAGAATGCAATGACCTTACTAAGCTGACCAAGCTTGTCAATATCTTTCCTTTGATTAATCTTCACTAGCATTCTCTAGAAGTTTGGAATTTTAAAACAGGAAATGCATTGTCTCTGTATTGCAACAAATTTTCTAGGATAAATACAATGTATTTTGAGCATTTTACTACTCTTTCAAGGCAAGCAAACAATGAAAGAATAAGGGGGTATAATGACTAGTTCATATTAAGAAGCTAGTATCTTTGTCTAAAAATTACAATATATTCTTACCAACTTTTCATAGACTTTCTAAACATTTCAGCAGGCTTCAATCACCCTGGTGTTTTTCGGTGGAATAACTTGGAGGATGCTGTCTTTAAATATCTCAGGAATTTGTAGGTCTGTGGAAGCTTCAATATTAGTGTCAAGTTGCAAATCCAAAATCTGGGTTAAGAGAATATATATTCTAAAATCATTAAACTCTGCCCTGCTATTTTTCACTTCTGTTATTCTTGATATCAATCTCTCTGGCAATTATGTTAAGATTCTTGATCATCTTATTTTGAATTTTGCTAAGCTTGTGAGATGTAATGCTTTTCTGCTTATTTCAAACATTTATACACAGATTTTTACGCTGATATACACTCAGAATCGTTCTCGTCTTTGATGAGTAGGACTACTTGTTAGCTAATCTGTGCTCTCAAAGACCTTGTTGTAAGCCTGGATGTGAAAGTGTTTGAACTAGTGATCGTCTCCATTATTTCAATTTAATTAATTATTCCTGGGGTTTTGGGGTTTTGGGGTTTTGGGGTTTTGGGG